TTATTATTATTATTATATATTATTATTATTATTATTATTATTATTATATTATTATTATTATTATTATTATTATTATTATTATTATTATTATTATTATTATATATTATTATTATTATTATTATTATATATTATTATATATTATTATTATTATTATTATTATTATTATTATTATTATTATTATTATTATTATATTATTATTATTATTATTATTATTATATTATTACTATTACTATTATTATTATTATTATTATTATTATTATTATTATTATTACTATTATTATTATTATTATTATTATTATTATTATTATTATTATTATTATTATTATTATTATTATTATTATTATTATTATTATTATTATTACTACTATTATTATGCCATCATTCAATAGCTGTCTTGCAGAAGTGTATAGCCATCACAACTGAAGTATCCCTTCTAACTGCAGCATCCCCACCCCTCCATCAGAGTGCAGGTATCCCCTCCCCTCCATCAGAGTGCAGGTATCCCCACCCCTCCTTCAGAGTGCAGGTATGCCTATCTCTCTTTCAGAGTGCAGGTATCCCTACCTCTCCATCAAAGTGCAGGCATCCCCACCTGTCCTTCAGAGTGTAGGTATCCCCACCTCTCCTTCAGAGTGCAGGCTTCGGAGTGCAGATATCCCCATCTCTCCTTCAGAGTGCAGGTATCCCCATCTCTCCTTCAGAGTACAGGTATCCCACCCTCCTTCAGAGTGCAGGTATCCCCACCTCTCCTTCAGAGTGCAGGTATCCCCACCTCTCCTTCAGAGTGCACGTATCCCCATCTCTCCTTCAGAGTGCAGGTATCCCCACCCTCCTTCAGAGTGCAGGCACTCCATCTCCAGGAGTCAGATCCTGCTAAACTTTTGATGGGATTTCTTTCATTAATAATAACTTGCTGACACTCCAACAGCACGAGAAATCTAAATATCACTTGTCTCTTCTGACGTCGATCTAGTATGCTCATACACTCCTTATATTGAATACCATCTACACATTCTTCCCTTCAACCCTTCCTGCAACAGGCCCTTCCCATCTTCCCTTCAACCCCAGATTTATACATTATCTTGATCATCCAATTGTGATTCATCGTTTATTTCTAAGTGAAACAACCACTTCAATAACCTCTTCTCTGAATTAAGCCTTTCGCAACCCTACGCCATCTTCTGATTTCTATGCCCCTAATATTTTTTTTGTGATATTTGCACCATACAATGCACTCACCAGTCTCCCACCCCGTCTATCTCGCTGCATCGTTTAAAGACCATATCTCATAATTATATAAAAGTGCTGAGACTATATGTGAAGTACTTAGCACATTTTAGCGTGGAAATAATTTACCCACTAAGAGCTTTGTTAATCCTATGCAGAGTTTACTGAAAACAAGACAAGTGTAGTGTTGACAGGTCAAGCGAAGGAGAGAGAGAGAGAGGAGAGAGAGAGAGAGAGAGAGAGAGAGAGAGAGAGAGAGAGAGAGAGAGAGAGAGAGAGAGAGAGAGAGAGAGAGAGAGAGAGAGAGAAGAGAGAGAGAGAGAGAGAGAGAGAGAGAGAGAGAGAGAGAGAGAGAGAGAGAGAGGGAGGGAGGGAGGGAGGGAGGGAGGGAGGGAGGGAGGGAGGGAGGGAGGTCAGGTGATGGCAGTGTGTGGTGTGTGGGAGGCTCCACATTGTCACTCGATTACAATGTCTTCTTGAGGTAAAATCATCTTTGTGCTTACACCAGCGATGCTGAATCCCGTTGAGTTTTAAAGCGCGACTTTTTTTGATACCTCTGTCATGGCTGCTTCCACACCTCTGTAGGTTGTCCTCTTTCATAACCAGGAAGCTTTACTCCACTGCTGAGATGACTGTGTCCTACGATGTATCGTACATTTATTTTACACAGACACTTTTGCTCCTTAAATCATTGTTCCAGAGAGCTCATCTATGCAACGAATTCTGCATACATCGCTGTAGTCTCGACCTTTTCTGATTATCCTCTTTTCGAGCAAGTTATAAAGGTAGTGACAAGGATGTTTGCTACGTTGAGGCTGTTACCAGCTGGTGCTGGTTACTGATGGGTAGGACAGCACTGATGGCTGCTCTGTAGTGCTGTTAATGATGTCAGGTTGTGTTTTCTTCTGGCTAAGATGAAGTATGGTGTGACAGTTCTCTGCGTTTTCAGAAACCCATGATTAAGCTTCTCTTCATCTCAGTGTTTTGGTGTAAAAGTTTCTTGTTAGTTGGTTTCCTGTGCACTTTAAAGACTAACTTGTCTCCTCCTGTGTTTAAGAAAGCATCAAGCAATGACAACGAGTTGCTGCTTTCTTCATTGATCGTAAATTTTATGGTGGGCGCCATATTGTTGTTGATGGAAGGGGCGGTGTGTATGTTCAAGCATTTAGAAAAACAATGACTAATATGTCATTTATTTAGAATAACCACATTATGTGGTTGGGAATGACTGGTCTAGAAGGCCTGAGCTTGCTACCACCTGCAGCTCATAAGACTGCCATCCCCACGAGCCCCTTTGGGGCGGGGCAGATGGCAGACCAGAGGCCTAGCTTCTCCCTACGAGCCCCGTGAGGGTGGAGACTGTGGCTAGGCCTGGGGACACTTGGTTCCAAAGATGAGGGGGTACTTGTACCTCCTCCCATGGGAGACTTAGGTCTCGAGACACTCCCCAGATAGGGAGCCAAGGCCGGGTCACCACTACGTGGAAAAGACCCGGGCCGGGAGAATACCGGCGAATAAGAAAAAAAAAGACTGGTCTGATGTGTTCAGCTTCGAGGTGCTTCATGCAAACGCTTAGCAAAACCTCAGTAATGGGTAACCCCATGACCATACCAATTCATTGTCTATATTTCTTTTGTCTGTACTTGAAACAATGGGGAAGGGGAAGGGGGAGTGTTTATGCGTGTAAACTAACCCAGTAAACAGACTAATGGTGTGCAACTCGTATACTTCAAACATTCCATTTTAGGTTGTATTAGAAAATTTTAATTAAACATGTTTGTATTACAAAAAAATCATAGTTTAGGCTACGTCCATCTCTCTGTTCTTCTCTTTCTCTCCAGTCTTCCCTACCATCAGCTTCCACGTGTTTCTTCCTCCTGGTCTCGGCTATGGCAGCTGTTCTCTTTCTTTTCACTCTGTCCATGTCCTCGAGTGTTTTATACATATTATTGTAGCAATTTTTGTATTCTACACTTCTCTACAAGCATGAAGTCATGTTCTTCAAGTTTATATTAATATCTTTAATGGTGAACTAAATTCCAAGTCAAATTTACTTGTAAAACTGATCTCCAAACTTTATCTACAGACATAATGATTAGAATTTTTTTTCTTTGGGAATTTTTGTACATATGCCAATATTTAATTTTTCAATAACAAAATTTCGTCAAGTCATAAATTTGAACATTTTTGACTGTGATATTGAGAATCTTTGTCAGGTTCTAACAACAATTTGAGAATGATATGATTGTGTTTGTGTGCCTTGGGAGATATGTTAGATGTGATGTTTACCCTCCTACTCAGGGTTTTCTCCTTTAATGGTTATGTGAGTTCTTGTTGCAGCTGCAACACTAGCACCAGGCTCCTCTTCCCAGTGACATTAATTAATTACATTTGCTGGGGTTAGTCTTCAATAATCACATTGTCATTGCCTCCATCGAGTCTGTTTACCGTCAACAATAACAAGACACAAGACTGTAACAATACATAAATAACACACATATAAGAGAGGAGCTTACGAGGATGTAAGTACTACCTGGCAGTACCTGGCACTACCTGGCACTACCTGGCATTATATGACACTACCTGGCACTACCTGGCAGTACCTGACACTACCTGTCACTACCTGGCATTATATGACACTACCTGGCACTACCTGGCAGTACCTGGCACTACCTGGCACTACCTGGCACTACCTGGCATTATATGACACTACCTGGCACTACCTGCCATTATATAACACTACCTGACACTACCTGGCACTATCTGGCACTACATGGCACTACCTGGCACTACCTGACACTACCTGGCACTACCTGGCATTATATTACACTACATGGCACTACCTGGCACTATCTGACACTACTTAGCATTATCTGACACTACCTGGCACTACCTGGCACTATCTGGCACTATCTGACACTACCTGGCGCTACCTGGCACTACCTGGCACTACCTGGCATTATCTGACACTACCTGGCACTACCTGGCATTATCTGACACTATCTGGCACTATCTGGCATTATCTGACACTACCTGGCATTATCTGAGACTACCTGGCACTATCTGGTACTACCTGACACTACCTGGCATTACCTGGAATTCATCTGGCACCACCTGGACTACTTGATACTTTCTGGCACTCATCTGGTATTACCTGGACTACTTGGCACTATCTGGCACTCATCTGGCCCTACCTGGATTACTTGGCACTACCTGGATTACTTGGCACTACCTGGCAGTACCTGGCACTCATCTGGTACTACCTAGCAGTACCTGTACTACTTGGCGCTACTTGACACTCACCTGACACTACTTGGTACTACCTAGCACTATCTGACACTACCTGGCATTACCTGGAACTCATCTGGCACCACCTGGACTACTTGATACTTCCTGGCACTCATCTAGTATTACCTGGACTACTTGGCACTGTCTGGCACTCATCTGGCACTACCTGGACTACTTGGCACTATCTGGCACTACCTAGCAGTACCTGTACTACTTGGTGCTACTTGACACTCACCTGACACTACTTGGTACTACCTAGAACTATCTGACACTACCTGGCACTACCTGGCACTACCTAGAACTACATGACACTACCTAACACTACCTGACACTACCTGACACTACCTGGCACTACTTGGCAATACCTGACACTGCCTGATACTACCTGGCACTACCTGGACAACTTGACACTATCTGGCACTCATCTGGCACTACCTAGACTACTTGGCAATACATGACATTACCTGGCACTGCCTGGAACTCACCTGGAATCTGTCGTCAGCAGTGTATGTTACCAGGCCCACCGTCAGGATGTGTAGATCACGAACTCTCATCCAGGTTACCTGTAGGATGAGACACAGGTCAGTCACACAGGTCATCCAGGTTACCTGTGGGATGAGACACAGGTCTGTCACACAGGTCATCCAGGTTACCTGTAGGATGAAGCACAGGTCAGTCAAACAGGTCATCCAGATTACCTGTAGCATGAGACATAGGTCAAACAGGTCACCTAGGTTACCTGTAAGATGAGACACAGGTCAACCAGGTTACCTGTAAGATGAGACACAGGTCAACCAGGTTACCTGTAAGATGAGACACAGGTCAACCAGGTTACCTGTAGGATGAGACACAGGTCAGTCACACAGATCATCCAGGTTACCTGTAGGTTGAGACACAGGTCAGTCACACAGATCATCCAGGTTACCTGTAGGTTGAGACACAGGTCAGTCACAGAGGTCATCCAGGTTACCTGTAGGATGAGACACAGGTCAGTCACACAGGTCATCCAGGTTACCTGTAGGATGAGACACAGGTCAGTCAAACAGGTCATCCAGGTTACCTGTAGGATGAGACACAGGTCAGTCACACAGGTCATCCAGAATATCTGTAGGATGAGACACAGGTCAGTCAAACAGGTCATCCAGGTTACCTGTAGGATAAGACACAGGTTAGTCACACAGGTCATCCAGGTTACCTGTAGGATGAGACACAGGTCATCCAGGTTACCTGTAGGATGAGACACAGGTCAGTCAAACAGGTCAACCAGGTTATCTGAAGGATGAGACACAGGTCAGTCACACAGGTTATCCAGAATATCTGTAGGATAAGACACAGGTCAGTCACACAGGTATCCAGGTTACCTGTAGGATAAGACACAGGTCAGTCACACAGGTCATCCAGAATGTCTGTAGGATAAGACACAGGTTAGTCACACAGGTCATCCAGGTTACCTGTAGGATGAGACACAGGTCAGTCACACAGGTCGTCCAGGTTACCTGTAGGATGAGACACAGGTCAGTCACACAGGTCATCCAGAATATCTGTAGGATAAGACACAGGTCAGTCACACAGGTCATCCAGGTTACCTGTAGGATGAGACACAGGTCAACCAGGTTACCTGAAGGATGAGACACAGGTCAGTCACACAGGTCAACCAGGTTACCTGTAGGATAAGACACAGGTCAGTCACACAGGTCATCCAGAATGTCTGTAGGATAAGACACAGGTTAGTCACACAGGTCATCCAGGTTACCTGTAGGATGAGACACAGGTCAGTCACACAGGTCGTCCAGGTTACCTGTAGGATGAGACACAGGTCAGTCACACAGGTCATCCAGAATATCTGTAGGATAAGACACAGGTTAGTCACACAGGTCATCCAGGTTACCTGTAGGATGAGACACAGGTCAGTCACACAGGTCGTCCAGGTTACCTGTAGGATGAGACACAGGTCAGTCACACAGGTCATCCAGAATATCTGTAGGATAAGACACAGGTCAGTCACACAGGTCATCCAGGTTACCTGTAGGATGAGACACAGGTCAACCAGGTTACCTGAAGGATGAGACACAGGTCAGTCACACAGGTATCCAGGTTACCTGTAGGATAAGACACAGGTCAGTCACACAGGTCATCCAGAATGTCTGTAGGATAAGACACAGGTTAGTCACACAGGTCATCCAGGTTACCTGTAGGATGAGACACAGGTCAGTCACACAGGTCGTCCAGGTTACCTGTAGGATGAGACACAGGTCAGTCACACAGGTCATCCAGAATATCTGTAGGATAAGACACAGGTCAGTCACATAGGACATCCAGGTTACCTGTAGGATGAGACACAGGTCAGTCACACAGGTCAACCAGGTTACCTGTAGGATGAGACACAGGTCAGTCACATAGGTCATCCAGGTTACCTGTAGGATGAGACACAGGTCAGTCACACAGGTAAACCAGGTTACCTGTAGGATGAGACACAGGTCAGTCACACAGGTCATCTAGGTTACCTGTAGGATGAGACAGGTCAGTCACACAGGTCATCCAGGTTACCTGTAGGACGAAGCACAGGTCAGTCACACAGTCATCCAGGTTACCTGAAGGATGAGACACAGGTCAGTCACACAGGTCATCCAGGTTACCTGTAGGACGAAGCACAGGTCAGTCACACAGGTCATCCAGGTTACCTGTAGGATGAGACACAGGTCAGTCAAACAGGTCATCCAGGTTACCTGTAGGATGAAACACAGGTCAGTCACACAGGTCATCCAGGTTACCTGTAGGATGAGACACAGGTCAGTCAAACAGGTCATCCAGGTTACCTGTAGGATGAGACACAGGTCAGTCAAACAGGTCATCCAGGTTACCTGTAGGATGAGACACAGGTCAGTCACACAGGTCATCCAGGTTACCTGTAGGATGAGACACAGGTCAGTCACACAGGTCATCCAGGTTACCTGTAGGATGAGACACAGGTCAGTCACACAGGTCATCCAGGTTACCTGTAGGATGAGACACAGGTCAGTCACACAGGTCATCCAGGTTACCTGTAGGATGAGACACAGGTCAGTCACACGGGTTTCATCCAGGTTACCTGTAGGATGAGACACAGGTCAGTCACACAGGTCATCCAGGTTACCTGTAGGATGAGACACAGGTCACACAGGTCATCCAGGTTATTAATATTATTATTAGTATCATCATCATTATTAATATTAATTCTTATTATTTATATTTTATTATTAGAATATTTTTTATTAAAATTATTATCAATAATATTATAATAATAATAATTATTATTATTATTACTATTATTATTATTAATTATTATTATTGTTATTCTTATTATTATTACTGTTAGTTTTTTATTATTATTATTATTATTATTATTATTTATTATTATTATTATTATTATTATTATTATTATTATTTATTATTATTATTTATTATTATTATTATTATTATTATTATCTAGCAAAAAAACAAAACAAAAAAGAGTCGAAAATTATGAATAAATTTTCTTTTCTCTCTCTGTGTCTACATTTTCTTTATTTTCTAATTTTCTTTGTTCCTTTTCATTCACTTAACATTTTTATTTCTTCAGTTTTAATTTTGTCTTCGTTAGTTTGTGATTTGTTTCTTTATCTTCACGTTCCTCTTTATTTTTATCTTCTATTTCATCCCTTATCTTCCTTTCTCTCTTTCCTTTCTCTCTTTTTTCTCTCTTATTCTCGCTTTATGTTTTCTTTTGCTTCTTGTATTTTCCTCTTTTGTTTTATCCACTTTCTCTCCTTTTTATTTATATTCCTATTCTTTTCTCCTTCTTTTCTTCTCATTTATTCTTCGATTTTCTTGTTCTCTTTCGTTTAACCCTTTTCTTTCTTTTCATTTATTCTTCATTCTTCTTTCTCTCGTTAATTCTTTCTCTTCTTTACTGTCATTAATTTCTCTCATTTCTTTCATTAATTTATTCGCCTTTCAATCCCAATTTCGTTTATTTCTCTTCCTACTTGCAATCCTCTTTCAGGAAGGTCACAGTATTAGACAGCCACAACATGCAGACAGCTCAGGAAGGTCACAGTATTAGACAGCCACAACATGCAGACAGCTCAGGAAGGTCACAGTATTAGACAGCCACAACATACAGACAGCTCAGGAAGATCACAGTATTAGACAGCCACAACATGCAGACAGCTCAGGAAGATCTCAGTATTAGACAGCCACAACATGCAGACATCTCAGGAAGGTCACAGTATTAGACAGCCACAACATGCAGACAGCTCAGGAAGGTCACAGTATTCGACAGCCACAACATGCAGACAGCTCAGGAAGGTCACAGTATTAGACAGCCACAACATGCAGACAGCTCAGGAAGGTCACAGTATTAGACAGCCACAACATGCAGACAGCTCAGGAAGGTCACAGTATTAGACAGCCACAACATGCAGACAGCTCAGGAAGGTCACAGTATTAGACAGCCACAACTTGCAGACAGCTCAGGGAAAGGGCACAGTAAATTTGACAGCCACAACATGCAAACAGCTCAGGAAGGTCACAGTATTAGACAGCCACAACATGCAGACAGCTCAGGAAGGTCACAGTATTAGACAGCCACAACATGCAGACAGCTCAGGAAGGTCACAGTATTAGACAGCCACAACATACAGACAGCTCAGGAAGGTCACAGTATTAGACAGCCACAACATACAGACAGCTCAGGAAGGTCACAGTATTAGACAGCCACAATATACAGACAGCTCAGGAAGGTCACAGTATTAGACAGCCACAATATACAGACAGCTCAGGAAGGTCACAGTATTAGACAGCCACAACATGCAGACAGCTCAGGAAGGTCACAGTATTAGACAGCCACAACATGCAGACAGCTCAGGAAGGTCACAGTATTAGACAGCCACAATATACAGACAGCTCAGGAAGGTCACAGTATTAGACAGCCACAACATGCAGACAGCTCAGGAAGGTCACAGTATTAGACAGCCACAATATAAAGACAGCTCAGGAAGGTCCACAGTATTAGACAGCCACAATATACAGACAGCTCAGGAAGGTCACAGTTTTTAGACAGCCACAAACATGCAGACAGCTCAGGAAGGTCACAGTATTAGACAGCCACAACATGCAGACAGCTCAGGAAGGTCACAGTATTAGACAGCCACAATATACAGACAGCTCAGGAAGGTCACAGTATTAGACAGCCACAATATACAGACAGCTCAGGAAGGTCACAGTATTAGACCAGCCAAACATGCAGACAGCTCAGGAAGGTCACAGTATTAGACAGCCACAACATGCAGACAGCTCAGGAAGGTCACAGTATTGGACAGCCTCAACATACAGACAGCTCAGGAAGGTCACAGTATTAGACAGCCACAACATGCAGACAGCTCAGGAAGGTCACAGTATTAGACAGCCACAACATACAGACAGCTCAGGAAGGTCACAGTATTAGACAGCCACAAACATGCAGACAGCTCAGGAAGGTCACAGTATTAGACAGCCCTCAACATACAGACAGCTCAGGAAGGTCACGTATTAGACAGCCACAACA